CCCTGTTATTTTTCTAGAATAATCAAGCCAGCATCATGCGCGATTTGTAAATTCACTCTGCTGAGAGAAATTATGTACCTAACGCAAAAATTGTCTACAATACAGTTGTACAGTTGATATACACCAACTGCGAGTGACATTATGAAATTTTAAACAGGCTGCTTCTTTACTTGGTTGGCATAGATGATTTGTCGTAAACTAGAGAGTGAAAAATGTACTTTCTGCTCTGTGCACTTGAGTCAAATCATTTCCAACTTCATCTGTGTGCAGCACCAGCATGTCTCAAATCCTCATCGAATGTGGAAGTACGCGATGATCAAGACCTGGTTAAAACTTGTGCACTTTATCTGAACCAAGTTAGGTGAATTGAAACTCAGCAGAAATGAACCAGCTGCCAATCACACTGCATGTAATTTAATTGATTTTATAGCAGTTGCCGGTTAAAAGTGGTCGCTATCAGAAATAGGTCCGTGCCATTCCACTGCCATGGTGAGATCTACAGACGCTCGTCGATTGCAATCAGCATTCGATACTTCCTAACAGAAACAAGGAAAAACGCTGGTTGTTTTACATGAAACTAAGCAATATCGTTTGAGCAGATTTAACAAGGGAACTCATGGATATTAAACTGGTTAAACTCATTATTCGCAAAAACAGATTTTGAACGTCTTCTTTTATGAAGACTGGATCACAAACGACAAGAGGATAAACCCAGCGGTAGGCACGACTGTTTTCCGTTATCATCGTTAAAGTCAGCGAGCGAAACTTGAACTGCAGGGTAGCGTAAACTTGAAAAGTCTGTCCGTTCGTTCCTCGTAAATAATAAGTTCGTGCAGGTCGGAAATTTAGGCTATAAAAACTGAACCGTCATACGAATGAATATAAAAAAAGTATCGCGCAAGCGTTGTAACCGACACTGCGAATTGGATCGAAACGCCGTTGCTTCCTGCTACGAACACTCGGTCAACGGGCAGATTATACCGATTAACTGACGCTTTACTGTCTAGGAGTTCAGCCCTTACAGTTTGCTTAATTAGAAGAGGGTAGTAACTAGTGAAAAAATCTACCATCGCTGATTCCCACGAAACTCGAAAAAAAATATCAGGCTACGCCTGTAAATTAGATCGTAATCGTGTGCACGATGTCACCAGATTGAGTAAATCGAGTAGAATTAAGTCGAACTGAGTATCATAGGTAATATTTCAAGCATGTATTTCACATTCAGAGACCTTAATGATTAAGAAATCAGAAGCTAATCTTGAGGACTTCATGAAGTTCAAATTTCGGACCTTGGTCTCAGAAGGTCACCTCAATGCCGTGCCGCTAGTTAATGCCAGTGTGCATTGCTGAAACAGGACCGCCATTAGGATGGAAAAGAGCAA